AGAAGAAGAAGAAGAAGAAGAAGAAGAAGAAGAAGAAGAACAAGAACAAGAACAAGAAGAACAAGAAGAACAAGAACAAGAAAAAGAAGACACAATTTTGATAACATTTGTTCGCTTGGTTTTGTGACATAACATTAAAGTTAATCCACGAGCAAATAAAATATATTATGATTTCGATTCTCACACGAAGAAAGGTTGAAGACAAAATATTTGAATGAATAATTCCATTGATCTGCAACGTACTGAGGTGTTCTATCTCTGACATACATAGCAGATCAAAACCTCCTAAAGTACTAATAAAAGTGTCGATGGAGGCTTTAACAATGTATAATAATTTATCTCTCACCACCTCCTCCCGCCCCCAACCCCCCCACAACCCCCCAACAACAACAAACGAACAAACAAAAAGCCATACACACCTACAGATAACCAAAATAATTATAAGCGTCTTTGGAAGGAATTGAAAACAGCTTTTTGCCAAGTGCACACTGCCAGTATCCGACTCATCTAACTGAGTAGGGACCAGCCAGTTTTCCCTTTATGGAGAGGCAAAGGCTGTCATGATGTTGGCCCAGAACGACCTTATTCGACTCTCGACTTTTGAATACATATGTATTTGATCTAGAAAGTCACAGTCGAGTTGTGCTAAAGTTGTAGCTTTTCTCTCATCAATATAGGAAAATGTGGTCGACCCCAACTCAGAAAAATGAATCTGCTTGGTAGTGTGAGCTGGGTATAAGGACACCATCCACAGATATAACAAACTGACCACGGGTGTTCCGTTATCTCAGTTGGTATCACGCTGGACTACAGAGCGATTGGCCATGGTTCGAATCCCAGACTAGACATTCCTGAACTCATGTTGCTTTATTGAGTTTTCAAAGCCCTCAACCCATTTTGATTCGATCCTATCGGAGACGGACGTTGAATTCGGAGGCCCCGCCTCTTCAATTTTTAATGACCAAACAGTGTTGATAGGGGAATTTAACCCGTACACTTTGTCCATACTGACCACAGTCTTGTTCATCCGAGCGGTCGGGGCAGTTGGGCCAGCGATTGCACCACTTGTATTCGGGGATACACTGACCGCTGGCACAGCGCCGGTGACCATACGGGCAGTCCTCGTCATCTGCTGGGGAAAGGCGGAGGGTTGTTGAACGGATCAGGTGGGTTTTTTTGTTCTTTGTTGTGAAGCTGTTGTTGTTGTTGTTGTTGTTTTTAAGGTGCTTTTATTGTTACGTTTGTTGTCTTGTTGTTGTTGTTGTTGTTGTTGTTGATTTTTGTTGTAGTTGTTTTGTTGTTGGTAGTTGTTATTGTTTTTTGCTGCTGTTGTTGTTGTT